CAGTAGTAATGTTAGGGGCTGGGGTCTTCCCGTTCTTCATTAGGTCCTTTCATTGTCTCTAGGCGGGCCGTTTCTTTTCTTACCTCTAAGGTTGCAGCTTCTGTTGATGAACGTAGCGTCCTTACCTTCTGTCTTGAACCGGCTCTGGCGCCTTCTTTTACTGGAGTAGGTAAAAGTTCAACATACCTAGGTGAGAGTTCACAGCTTGCAGCCTAAGGCTTCTGCAAATTTAGCCACTAATGCTAAGCAAGTTGTGCTAAACAAGTTCTATATAAGTAGCATACCAGATTGCACAACACCAGGCACTTGTGACAGTTATAAGCAGCATGAGGAGCGCCAGCGTGCCGGCGCTTCCTCCCTTTGGCTCCCTACTGCTCCCCTCGGGAAGCAGCTCCCCCTCGCCTCCTACACTTGCTCTGCCCTGGTTAGCTACCAGCAGTTTGGAACAAGAGCCGTGTAACCTTTCTGAAGATGTTGTCCAAGCAAACCAGGCCTTGTGCCCTCATTGTGTCCCCTGTCCTGCCAGACTCTTCTTCAGGCTTCTGGCAGCATTCCTGGCCCACCCAGCCAGTCCCTCAGCCCAGCCAGATCACTCATCACACTGGCACCAATGACAAGTGTCTTAACTTCTCTTAGTTTTATAGTTCCCTTTCTTTCAGACTTCACTTCCTCTTTATTCCTTTTCCACCCCAAGTCCTAACTCGCATGTCAGGCAAGGAGAGAATCTACAGGGATTGGCACAGATGCAGGAGAAAAGAGTGGGGTCTGACTGCATCCCCAACCTCCCATACCTGGTAACACCTATGTGCTTTGCTTTCACACAGACATCACTCCTTCAGTGTCCCGCCACTCCTCTAGCCTCTTGCTCCCTCTAGCCCACATCCTTCCCTCCTCCCTTCCACCATCTGTTCCTATCAATGTCTTTTCCTTTACCTTGGCCTCATACCTCTCAATCTCTATGCTGTTCCAGATCTCTCCTAGGGTTGACTGATTGGTAAAACCAGTTAGAAATAGTTGTATCAATTTGGGGGTGTGTGCATTTTTCCTTTAGAAGAAAGGAGGAGGAAGAGGCAGTTGGTGCCCACTACTGTGAGAAGATGGAAGACTTGCTGCAGCAGTCTGACTTTGTTATGTTGGTTGTGAACCTGACTTCTGAGACTCACAAACTGATTGGGAAAAAGGAGCTGGGGCTGATGAAACCCACAGCTACTCTTGTAAACATCAGCCGAGGTAGGATGGTCTAAAAGCACTGTTTGTGTCTCCACAGTTAAGGTTGTGTTTTGTCTGATTATGTTGACATTCTCCCCCCATCCTCAGTCTGTGGTACCCCTGTATTGTTTGAGTCATGAAGTAGCTGGCAGTCTACAAATGAATGACTTATCATAGATCAGATGCTATGTGTTCAAAGGTCCTCTGGAATTTAGGGATGTTCGGCAGGTGTTCTGTTCTCTTTAGCCTTATCCTAAAGACAGCTTTTTTTAGTGGAAATAACTGAAAGGTTTATCATCACTGATGGTGAATGGGGTACAAGAAAAACATAAGTTTCATTTGGAACAGCTATGTAGAAAAGAAACCTCACATGGGATTACAGATCTGTTGGCACTGAACAAGCATATAAGAGAGAGATTATAGTTTCAGTAAACAAAGCAGAGATAAGAGTGGAAAGCTTGAAGAGATTAAATGATTTGTCTATAATAATACAGGAAGTCAGTGTCAAAATGTGGAAAAGACTGAAACCAGTCACATCTCGGAAAAAGCTTTATGCAGTGGACCATAATCCTCCTCTAATTAAAGATTAATAAATAAAATCTCTGTTTTGTTTGGTTAATGGTTATTAGAAAGACATTCTGCTTTCTAACAAGGTGAAGATCCTGTAATTTTTCTCACTAGACCCTTGAGACCTTTCCCCACTCCCAGGTAAAAACATGTTCATTAACTCGTCACAATAGCAAGATTTCATTTCAATGCAGGTGCAGTTGTTGATCAAGATGCATTGGTAGAAGCTCTCCAGAATAAGGTTATTAGGGCTGCTGCTCTGGACGTGACGTACCCTGAGCCTCTGCCAAGGTAGAGAAACCTGTTTTCCATTCTATTAATCTGAAATGTTTTAAACTGTGTGCAAAAGTATGCTCATAATCTTGATCTTCATGGGGAGTTTCTCTCACTGTTTAAGGGCAAAACCTCAGCCTGTCTTACACAGTCATTGATAAATGACAAACTATTCGCCTTTCCCACATCTGTCAGTTCTTTGCCAGCCTAACTGACAGGCAAGGCAACAAGACCAATAGAGAGGAAGAAGAAATGGGTAAGCAAGCTTCCCACAGCTTTCTGCTGGTTTTGTGCTTGTGGCCCTTTTATCTCAACATGCTATTGCTGTTTCCCGAGGTTCAGTTCTTAACAACTAGCATGGGATAGCTGCAGAGTAAATTCCCTGTGTAATACATTCTTTTCTTTCTGTTTCTTACAGAGATCATCCTTTATTAAAATTAAATAACATCATCATAACCCCTCACATTGGAACCGCAACAGTCCAAGCTACCCGTATGATGGCAGAAGAAGCAATAGCAAATATGCTGGCTGTTCTCAATGGCCAACCCATTCCAAGTGAAGTGTTTCCCAAATGACGTGTGCCAGATGATATCACTAAATCTCATACGTATGGGAAGGCACTATTTCTTACAATACCACTTTAAAAAAAAGCAACCTGTTCTGCACTGCTCTTGTTGTCATGATACTGCAAAGCTGTCGTCTCACTGGACTTGATCTGTACTGTTATTTACAATTCGGAAAAATAAAGTGGAACTAATGAAAGGGATTTGTTTGAAGATTTTAAACTGAGCAGTTACGCACTTTGATATCTTCAGTCCATTATTTCAATGAATACCTGTGTTCAGTTCCCAGTACTTGCTGCTACATAACGATAAGCAAGTACACCAAGCAGTTTGTGTAACACCCTCAAATATATTAAAGGTGAATTGAGCATTAATTCCCTGCAGAAATTTGACGGTATCCTGAAGCACTTTTCAGCAAATATTGCAATATTCTATTTTTATATCAAAACACTGAAGAAAGCAGACTCCTTTGAAATGATCGTAGGCCTAAGGTTTTCTAATGTAAGAAGAGCTCTGCTTCATCTACATGTTAAATAAAAGCAAAGCCAATCATTGAAAAAGTATCTTTGATTTTCCTGAGGGGATCCTTTGAAAACCAAAGTAAATCCCAAGAGATTTAGTTCCTCCATGCAGACAAAAATGATGCTTTTATCTCGACTGGCCATGAAACAATGGTAGATCTACCACTGAAACCACGTGGGTGAGGGCACAGCCTAAAGCAAAATTAGTGATCAGTCCTAACTTCCAGCCCAGGACCACGATTTTTCTTAAATTCTCTTTCCTATGAGCAAGCAACAAAGTCAGAAAATCTAGTAAAATGTTTGTCACCTCCATAAAATCTGAAAGCCTTTCCGTTATTTTGCAATGCGGTCAGGCTTCTTGAAGGGATGGTAAAATGAAGTTGTAGCACAGGAAGTGTAGACAGGCCAAGAGTTAGACATTCAGATGCAAATAGTGAAATACTACTAACACCACAACAGCCAGTATTGCCATAGGGGATTCCAAGATCTGCAGCCCTTGAACAGCTCTCCCCGCATTTCCAAAATCTCCTCTCTTCCCAAAATTCCTACAGAAAATCAATGGTAGCTGTAAATAGTCTTATTTTTTAATAAAAAAAAAAAGGTGTCAATTCACAGACCCTCTGGGAACCACAAACAGACAGTCCGTGATTCCCACAAAAAAACCCCATGCTTTAATTTGAGTGCATAAGTCCTCTTTGGAAAACACTTGCCTAAGCATCTATTATTTTGTTAACTTTGTTTATTTTGTCAGGAGAAGGCACTGCAGTTAAGAAGTCACTGGTGTCTCTTCAAGACAGGAGGCTGCAAAAATCTCTGCAAAGAAACATTTAAAAATTAACCTGGTAACTCGAAGTTCATGATGAAGCTGTGCAATTTATTTTCACGAACTAGATTTGGTCCATTTTTCTACCTACTACTTCTACAACTACTTACACGCGGTAATTTGTGATTTCAGGGTAGGGAAGGAGATTTATTGATGGTCTGAAACTAAGCAATCGATGAGAAATAATTGTGTGTTATGAGACTGGTGACAGCGATATGAAACCTTACATAGCATGAGGGAGAGAACTTGTTCAGACTTGATTATGTGAATACCTCTGTGTGTGTGTGTGTGTAGTTGGTTAATATACTTAAAAGAGCTGCTTTCTTGTCTTGGTTTGTTTACCTCTGTCCTGGTTTCGGCAGGGATAGAGTTAATTTCCTTCCTAGTAGCTGGTACAGTGCTGTGGTTTGGATTTAGGATGAGAATAACCTTGTTATTATTAACAACTTAGTTGTTGCTAAGTAGTGCTTACGCTAGTCAAGGACTTTTCAGCTCCCCATGCTCTACCGACTGAGAAGGCTGGAGGGGCACAAGAAGCTGGGAGGGGGCACAGCCAGGACACCTGACCCAAACTGGCCAAAGGGACATTCCATACCATGGGACGTCATGCTCAGTACATAAACTGGGGGAAGCTGGCGGGGGGGGGGCCGCTGCTCGGGGACTGGCTGGGCATCGGTCGGCGGGTGGTGAGCAATTGCATTGTGCATCACTTGCTTTGTGTATTATTATTATTATTATTTTATTTTATTTTATTTCAATTATTAAACTGTTTTTATCTCAACCCACAAGTTTTCTCACTTCTACTCTTCCAATTCTCTCCCCCATCCCACCAGGGGGCGGGGGGAGGGAGTGAGCGAGCGGCTGTGTGATACTCAGTTGCCAACTGAGGTTAAACTTTGACGACCTCCCTATCTAAATGCGTGGTTTATAAGATCTCTTGTCATAGATGTCATGAGACAGGACATAAAAGTGATTATTCTTTGAAATGTCTAGAAATAATTATATGTCTTTCTTCTGACACTTTGCATCTTCTTTGTGCAGATCATGGGAGGAGGAGAGCTACCTGGGCTTTTGGTAAATGAAATCGGTGCAATACGTGGAATACTGCATGACCACATAGCGTTCCTGAAGAAACATTTCTACCTCATCACCATGAAGGAATTTCTTGAAAACAGAAAGCATATGAGCAAAAAGGTCCAAGCAATCCGTTTGTGGTGGCACAAATCAGTCATTGACCAAGAGCTCCTCCAGAGCCTGCCAAACTTGAAAGTGATTGCAAATTCAGGAGTAGGGATGGATCACCTGGATATGAAACTTGTAGCTAGCTTTGGTGTGAAGGTGGCTAATGCTCCATGTGATGTTTCTGGCAGCACAGCAGATACTGGGATGGCTTTGCTGCTGGCATCTGCTAGAAGACTAGTGGAAGGTAACACCTCAATTCTTTTGTGGCTTCTAAAAATCATACAAGATTTACCTACCATTAACTTGACTTTTCCTAGAGTTACCTGTAGCACACATAGTTACACATAAAATGTGGAAATCTAAATATGTTGAGTTGGCAAATAGAATAATCGGTATTTTCATATATTTTATATAGCATAAATATATCTAAATTATTACAGTATATACAAACATACCTAACATATATTTCAACCAGGTATAAATAAAATCATATGAGTTTATTTTTCACAGGTCACCAGCCTGTGTTGAAAATACTTGAGCAGAATCTAATCACATTTGATTCAAATACAACTTTTTGCTTTATGGACAGGGCTTGGTCTTAGAAGGTGGAGTTTTGTTTTTAGAATAAATATGGCTGTAGACTTAATTTAACAGTTTCAGATGAACAACACACTGAAGTGTGCTTCTTACATATGAAAACTTTGAATTTCATTACCTTCTTCAGCAGCACGTTTTCAGTGACTGACATTTGGCTGACATAAGATGTGCTTCTTGATGTGATGGTGTTACAGTGCTATTGACCAAAAGCGGGGGATGCCAAAGATCAGACGATCGCTGCAATCACAGGCTGGCAGAAGAAATTAGAGTGTGGGAGGCAGCGATGGAGCAGAATAAGGGTATGTGCTGAAAGCTGGGGCTGACAGAGGCATGGGCATATTCTCAGGGACTGAAATGGATTGGTGCAGAATTGGGGAATTTAAGGAGCATTAGAGAGCAACAAGGCAGGCTGCTCCAGTTTCTGATGGTAGCATCCTTTCTAGTTTCTTCCACAATTTTTTCTTGCCATTCCCCAAATAGAGCTACCCTTGGCTTCGTTAGAATGCCTGCTGCTTCAGGAAAAGATCCTCCAGATTTATCCTGTTAAATTTACCTGCCTTTGATTTGCCAGCTGTACCACAGGATTCATAGAAACTCAAAGGAGACTTGCCTCCCCCTAAATCTGTTTCTACCTCACAAGGAGGAGACAGATTAAAAGGGAGATTAATTTCTTGTTCCCATCTACATAAACTATCCCTGGTGGCATTTCTGATAGCTCTGCCCTGGCATGACTGAGTTTTATCCTGAGGCATTTTTTGATACTTTCACAATATTCTGCTTACGTTTTAGAAGAGCTGGCAATATCGGAAGACTGAAATATCAGAATCCTGTCACCTTGCTAGCAGACTAATAAGTGCTGTCTCTGTGCATATAAGTTAATTTTCTGTGTTGTAGAACCATCCAAAATTTTGCAGGCTTAACAGATGATTATGGAAATTACCAAGTAGTGATTTTTAAAGAAGTCACACTTTTATTTCCAAGGAGAGTAGCAGAGGTGAACAGGAAACCTGTTCTTACTCTAAATAGCAAAAACAACATCTGGTGTTATTCTCCATGTGACATTTCCAAACTCTGCAGTGTTACTGGCAATAATTATTTTGATTGTTGATGCAGAACTGGGCAATATTTTTATGAGTCTAAAGCAGTAGAAGGATTTTTAGGGGTGATTACATCAAAAGGCTTAGTATGGTGAGAATAAATGGGAATGTCACATACATGTGGCAGGGAAAGATGATATATTAGGGAGTCACGTAGGACATTACAAAAAACATTGCTGTTTAAAATTGTGTGTTTGTAACTGTTAAAAGTGTGCTATAGTAGCACAACAAGCCCAGACTCTTTTGCCTTGTTCCTCTGTGTTGGACCCCATTCATTTCTCATATTGGAGTGTTTTTCTTGCAGGCTATCAGGTTGCAATTTCTTCGGGTATGGAGTATTGTGAAGCTGATTTTCTGGGAGTTGAAGTTACTAGAGCTACTCCGGGGATCATAGGCATGGGCAGCGTTGGGTATAAGATTGCTCTGAGAGCCAAAGCGTTTGAAATGAACATTTTGTACCACAACAGGACACGGAGGTAAAGATATGTCTTGACTCTAATTACAGAAGAAACTCCCTTTTAGATAGTCAGTATTTCCTTTTCAAGGAATTATGTCAGGAGTATAGCAAGAAATGAGGGAACAGGGACAAGATTAAAACGAAAGAAAAAAATCCGGTTGCCTCAAATCGGTCTTGTAAGGAGTTACTTGGTGATTAAACACTTGGAAACTTAATCTAGGTTTTATATTAGAAATTCCAAGGTTTCCTGGAGATGCGAACAGAAAAAGGAAAATCAATCCTATACCTTTTTTATTCTTATCATATCTTACCATACTGACACATAACTTTTTACCTTTTGTTTATTTTCTCTCCATATTTTGAAGCTCAGGAGTGATCTTGTTGAAACTCTGAATGACTGGAGAACTAGGAAACGTATACTTGGCACAATATGAAAACTGATTAACTTGAGAGCTGTTCTTGAGAAAACCTTGTTTCTCTTCAAACCAGAAGGAATTTTGCCAAGTATTTAACTGGATTTCACCCTTTATTTCTAGCCCCTCCTAACCTGTGTATCTGGGAGTCTGATCCTTGTTAAAGATTCAGCACAGGGGCTCTTCAGCGTAAAGATGAGCAAGATCCCTATGTACAACTCGAGGCCGTTGCAATCAGGCAAGGTGCAGCCAACAAGCAGAACAAATGTTTACTGCTATAAACCATGATCTACCCTGAGACACCTTTACTCCTCCCTGACTGAAGGGAGAAGCTGCAATGCTAGTGCATGTGGCTTTCAATGATTTTCTCCATATGCAGACTGCAGCAGGAGGGTTACCGCTCCACCTAGCCCTAACCAAATAACAAAGGTGTATGAGG